CATAATTAATGCGCACTCCATTGCTGAGCATTTTATTCAGCAGACTTCGATATTTCCTAAAATTTCATTGAACTTTAAATTATAGCTCAAATTATTGCTCTAAATTTGTGTCCCAGATCAATTGTGAAATAGTAAATAAAGAAAAATATTAATACGTTGTTGATTGATTCGAGAATATCATCTGCTAAGATATATTCCAGGAACGTTTTCTTCATGAATGAAACTGCAACGTTTGACTGTATAATAATTGTTATAGGCGTTATGTTTGGCGGGAAATTTTAGGGATTTTGTTATTATAAAGAAAATTAACTTTGTTTACTATTTTTTTTCTCCAAATATAATAATTTTAAAAATAAGTTGGTGTAAATTGAAGAAAATATTCATTAAAAACAAACTTAAAATTAAAAGAAAATGTAATACAGGAATTTAAAATTGCTTGCACATATGAACTAATACATCAAATTTATTTTAATTTTCCAATTCACATCATAGTACTGCATATGTATCACCATAGTACTGCACCAGCAATACTGATATTACTGATCCTGACCACTGTGCAAATGACTTAAAATTAACGTTTACTTAACGTTAATTTGACGCCATTGTTAAAATCACCGTTCGAGAATGACTATGAATTAACACACTTTTTATTTCCTATCCTAGGAATCGAGTGGAAAAATATGAGCAAATATACCTTAAATAATAAGAAAAAGATGTACCTCAAACTAAAAATATTATATAAATATGATTTTAAATAAATAAATAAATTTGTGTCCTAATAAATATGAGATTAGGGGTTAATCCGCAAATCGGATTTGAAGTTAATCCGCATTGGGCTGGACAAGTAATCCCTGAACTTTGCAAATCCCTCCATGAAATATTATTCGCACCAACGACATTAATTCCTAAACTTTTGTAATTATTTTTTTCAGGGGTACTTATATATAATTGCAGTCTTCTTCAGTCTGCAATTATACCATTAATTTAGAAGCCAAGAAAATGCCCAGAAAGTTCAACATCATTCAACTGAAACTTTTAACTTTTTCTACGGAATTATAGAGAATTTTCTTAGCATTTTCTTTATTTTTAAATGTTTGGAATTTATGAAGAATAATAATGATCATATATATTATGGAGAAATATTTCCATTTTATTTCGTTACAATGAAGCTACGTTTCAATTTTCTAACCGAAATAATGCCACATGATTCAGCATAACAAATTAACTAAAAATTAATTAAATATCCTGAGGCTAAACAAATTTCGTAAGCACTCAAATATTCACTGTTTTCAATGTCATTATTCAAACCCATAAATATAATTTCATGAATGTATAATAGAATACATGATCGATAATTACAATTTTATATGAGCGTGAATGTACGGATGACGCTGAAATTAATACCTTATAATAGCCGCTTAATGGTCATATACATATAGGTTATGTCTAGCTAATATCTTTCTCGCAGGCAATTTTTCAAAGTTTCAGTAAAATATTCAAATGTAATTAATGACATTTATTTACTAACGTGCGTAAATATATTTTATTTTCTACTCACCTATAATTTATGTTAAGAAATTAGAGATTTAATTCTACTCACCTATAAATTCTGTTAAGAAATTAGAGATTGAATTCTACTCACCTATAAATTCTGTTAAGAAATTATAATTTAAATTTTAGCCCCTTGCTTCCTTAATAACTCGATACGTAACATGTTCATCTGATGGAGCCATGATTCAACAATGATTGTGCTTTTTCCATCATTTTCTTTACACCATATATTAGGTTTATCTAAGCATGACACGGTTTTCGCGTATAAGAACATAACATATACAGATCATAATATCATAATACATACCATATTTATAAGAACATATTATCGACATAAATTAATAACAAGATAATTTAGCTTTTTCATGTGCGTGCACAAAGCGTCTCAACCGTTAAATATTTTACGTAGGCATCTATCAAGTTTACATGTTAAAGACGATTGAAGACTGTCGTCTACATAGACTGAATATTGTTGCCTTTTTCCTCAAGTACTTCATTCACAAAAGAAATTGCGTAAATTTAAACTGCGACGCGTTCTTGCGACTGTACTACGCTCGCTAAGGTCAGCTATTGGCTGGGAGTTGACATTTGTTTTCGCGTACCCTTTCCTCGATCACGTTCACAGCATAATTTATATTATTTTTCTATCGTAAATTCGTGTTCCAACCCCAAAACATATTTTTTTCGACGTGAATTAACAAGAGAAAACAATAACTGGTAAAGATAAAAGTCAACATAGCCGAATTATTGAGCCTTGTAGTCCCATTCAAGTGCAAATGGCTAAATGCATCGACAACATGACAACTAACAACGCAGGCGCTGCAGACGGCGGCAGCGTTTGTAGGCGAACAACAGCTGATTTTTGGCACAGTGTGTCAGACTGTCAGTGTGTCGGCAGACACGGTGCTGTGAGTGTGTGTGTCAAGCGCGGTGTCTGTTTACCATGTGCCAAGCTTGGTGTCTTCTATGCAAGTTCTGTTTAAGTATTTCTCGAAGTAGCTTTATGAATATTAGTTAGTATACATTTTTCGATGATAGATATTTACTTTCTTGATATGTCTTGCGCAAGTTCGAAATAACGGCTGGCAAATAATATCCTATACGTAACTTCTAATTGCTGCGTCAGCATCTAAGTTTCAAATTTCCTCTGTCTAAAGTTTCCTAATTACACAGTCGATGCGCCTATAGAGGAGCTAAGTTAATTGGAAATCTTTGGATGAAAAACTGCAGATTAAAATTAAAAATTACATGTCGTCAGTTTAAAATTTCTACAATAAATGTGGTCGTCCATTATTGAAGGAAATTAAACTTTCTTGCCCTGGTAGTTGCTGGATCGAAGAGTCTGAGGTCATAATTTATACTTCTATGTTTATATTTATTAATTTCATGTAGTGAATTCATGTCCCAGTGAATAGGAAAAACTTCATTATTCCAGTCCAGCTCTCAACGTACAAACCAACGAAAGTCAATTTACAGACAGAAGCAAAAGTTGAATGGTCGGCAACGTGGATATAAGAAACCGTCTTCTCGAGACAAATCATTAAAGCCCTTATCTTCGCTTTTTATTTATCGATTACAATTGGGCAAAGCAAGATGAGGACGACAGAGCGCAGCGTGTGCAAATTTTACAAAAATTTTGAGCCCAATTACGGGTTATATGCAAGGTTTTAGCAAGGGTTTTGAACCTTTCTAATCAACTGGTCGTGACTCTAGCTCGCTACCAGGAAGCAGGAAGGTTGTACATTAATAAAATCTCCAGAACGATAAGTCTTTCTTCTATTTTTTAGCATGAGTTTGATTGTGAATAGGTTTTCAAGCCTTAAATAAGTCATTCTGTATTGTGATAAGAATATCAAAGTTTGATACCATATGATAAGCTTTTACTGCGGTTAACTATCATAGCGGCGCAAAATAATGCATTGTACAGGGTGTTTCAGAATTAAGTAACCCTTTTAATTTGTTAATAAATAAAAAACTAAGAACGTTATGAAGTTGAAACTTGTTTTATTTGAAAGAAGAACATTTTCATGCTAATATTGCATCATAGTTACGTCATTATCCTGCATAGCTTGCTAAATTTGTGTTTAATTATCAAGCCTTAAATTTTCATCATGATTCGCTACAGCAAAGAAGAAAGAACAAAATTATCGCTACAGTCAATAACGATGTTAATAACAGAAGTTCAACGTGATTACAGGATCCATTTCAAAACAAGGATCCTTCAAAAAACACATTTAAATATCTTTATCGAAAATTTGCGGATATCAAAAATTTGCACTCTCGTCAGAAACACTAATGAAGGTTATGAAAGCAACGAAGAGAAGAGCCCTATTTTGTCAAAACAATTGTGGTGGGCATTTAAAAGATATTATATTTAAAAACTAGGATACAACATTACCATAAAAATGTTCTTCTTTTAAATAAAACAAGTTTCAACTTCATAACGTTCTTAGTTTTTTATTTATTACCAAATTAAAAGGGTTACTTAATTCTGAAACACTCTGTACCAATTCGCCAGCTTGTTCTGAAAATTTATGATTGGATGTGCATTTCAACCGTGTTAATTTGATCGTAGCCACAATCTCATTTCGATCAAATTTCAGTTAAACTTCTGCATAACCTGAGTTGATTCATGTGAGACAAGTTTTGGTGGAAGAATTTTTGAAATTAAATGACGATTTTTTAAATAATTGAATGATTTTTTTTATTGAGTTCTTAATTTTAATTAAACAATTATATACTTAATTCCATGTAATTATTTCGTCAATGAACACATTTAGTAGTGAGTCAGTGAATAATCTTCAGTACTGATGAACTTTTCAAATTTTTTATCATTTTAACGTTTATATACTCTGAAAAAGCTCAACATTTGTCACAATATCCATGAAAATGTAAGATTAATTAAAGTTTAAAGTTAAAGTGTCCGGTATCCTGCAGCTCACATACCTGATGATTACATTTCCATATATGATTCTAAGAAGAAACTGCGTGTGATAGAATAAATTACGGTTTGGTAATTACATTTACACGCAATTTGTTCTGTCTCTTATACACATCTAGATGTGTATAAGAGACAGGNTGTGTGATGAAAGGCATTTAAATTGTAGCGAGGTTTTTTATAGTGATGTTATATTTAATTTACGTTGATATCTGAGACGTAAGAATTTTCAGCCATTGCATTTTTACAGCATTGGCCACTTATCCCTCTTATTTTTGTTCATGGGATACTGACGTCATGAATGTCATTGCTCCTCATTTTGCCTCGAGCAGGAGAACGTTTATAAAATATCGACGGGATACAAGATACGTTGACTAACTTAGAGAAGCGGGATAAGGGCCAGGAGTATGGAGCAGCCAGGAAAAAAGGGGCTTTAATATCGTGTTATAATCTTTTATAACTATCTACCTGTCTCTTATACACATCTAGATGTGTATAAGAGACAGGCAGAGTGGCGGTCGGTGAGACGTGTCAGCTTTCTGGATCTAACATAAATTATACACGTATAATTATACAAATATTAGTATAGGTTGGCAGAATTTCTTCTTTCAAGCAGGTTTCATTGAAGACCAGAGAATTTGTTTTATTCGCAATTTTCTTATTAGTTTTTTCAATATATCGATATATCTCAATATATATTTTCAATATATCGATATATTTCAATAAAATTATACAAATATACATATAATTATAATCATATGTCTTAAAAAGCCATAGATAATTTTTTTATGCAGTGGAAAGGTTCAAGAGCTGAAATGAATTGCGGATGTGTTTTTAATATTCAACGGCGGTAATACTTTTTTGATACACTGGAAAAGTTTTAGAACTAAAAAAATTATGGATGCGCAGGAAATCTCCTAAATTCTAAAATAATTTTTGTATGTTCTGGATATGCTAAAGAGCTAAAATAAAGTATTATTTAACTAACTTCTCGCGGCAGCTTTAGCTTAACAAGTAACCCGTGGCGTCAAAAATAGATGCCTGCCCGTAATAAATCTTTGACCATTGGGTGCTAAAAAACTAATAGTTTTTAAGTTGAAAGTAATTAAAAGTGATGAAATTAATAGTAAAGTAAAGACTTTGTACTCACGATCTATGGTTGTTCTTGAATGCATTATTATCTTGAAGTAATACACATTTGTTTAATACTTCAATAATTTGAGGATAGTAACTATCATCGAGTAAGTTCCACTTTATTTATCTATAGCATCTACCGACATTCTTCGTTTGAGATCGGATCGTAAAATTTAAATATAAGTATAGTTATGCGCATAGTTTCGTTTCAAGATATGATTGCCTAATTTTTTTCGTTAAGGTCCCGTTTCAATATATTTTTTGACTACGTTTTCTTCTACTAATGATTACGAAGTTTTTACATTAATGAAAGGTGAATTAAGGGTAGGTTCCAAATGACATCAAAATGGAGATTCGGCTTTTAGAGGTTTTAAAGACTATAGGTTTGAAATTAAACTTTATAAATCATCCGTTCATTTTTTGGAAAATTCCATCCTCTATATTTATATTTAATCATGTTGTATATGCCGCTGTATGCCTGCTGCTTGATATTCTACACGAGTTGTTGCGACATGGAGAACCCTGCATACATCCATGGTTGAATTAATACATGTATTATTTCAAACATGCATAAATCTCCATCATGTATTCAGGTCTTCGACGCGACCAACACCACCAGGGACAGACGTAGGATGATTCACCAAATTGTGGAGAAACAACTCACTTGTAAACTCTTCTTTATTGAGAGTATCTGTGACGACGCTCAACTTGTTGAAGCCAACATCAAGGTCAGTGAGCACTGACACTTACATCATCGTACGTGTAAGAGCTGACCGAAGCATATGGTTAGACATTTAATAGATACTTTCTTGTAATACGTGATCTTTACCAATGGCAAGTAATAAATGAATGCGTTATAAAATGAATGTTAAACTGACTTCGAGGTCATGGAGCGTTCTGCACTAGGCTTTTTCAGTGAAATTTAATCGTTCTACTGAAGTTTATCATCAAATTTTACCATTTGGTCATTAATCGTGATAAAGAGTCTACCGATCAGTTAGAAATATTTATCAACCAAGACAAAATATCAATTCAATGCATTGGCTTTCATTTCGTTGTGATACAAGTAATTAAGTAACCATAACTTATATAGGTACTTGTGATACAAGTATATAGTAACCATTACTCGGTCACTTGTGATATACTTGTGATACAAGTTATATACTTGTGATACGAGTATATAATTAAGTAACCATTACTCAGTCATTTGTGCACTGATGCTATGTCCTAACCCCTGCGACCTGCGAATTGTTTAACTGAATCCCATCAATAATTAAATGGCATGAAAATGACCACGAAGCTCGGCCATTGTACGTCCGTCTAGATAGCGTCAGTCTATCAACACAGTGATCTCAGCCGCTGTTACAATCTTATCTGCCCGTAACATAGTCCGTGTAATATAATGTATGAAAAAGAATAATAATATATTCCTGCAAATAGCAGACCACACGTGAGCAGAACAAACGAAATCGTCGTAAAGTAAATAATTCTGGGACGATACCGAGGCTTCTGGCTGAAAGTTTATGAATCTTTGATGAATATTCACCGCATAGCTTGCAACTTGGCTACTCACGTCCCAATGCCTGAGTTTTTTCTTGAAATTACGAGTATATTTATATCTCCGAAGCGTGCCTGGCTCATTAATCGATGAGCATTGAAGTTAAGTCTTCTCAGAGATACCATTCGCCACCATCATATGTGACGCGTAATTCATATTGATTTTACTATGAAATATATGGCTTTCTTTTTATTCGTATTTCTGTTTCTTATATTATATTCATTCAGTAATTTTATGACATTATGGGAAATAATCTCTCGTTTTCTGTACAGGAAGTGAAGGTAAATGGTCCAGACTACAAAGGAGTTAAGCCAGAAAAAGCTCTGGCTGATTTTCTGCAGAGGATCGAACACTACAAGCGCATCTACGAGCCCCTGGACGAAGAGAAAGAGAAATATCTCTCGTATATGAAGATATACAATACAGGTAAATTGGTATACAAATTTATAATACAGGTAAATCATTATACATATTTATAATGCAGGTAAATCATTATACAAATATGCAATACAAATAAATCATTATACAAATTTGCAACACAGGTAAATTATACAAATTAACAATGCAGGTAAATCAGCATACAAATTTACAATACAGCTATATCAATATACAAATTTAAAATACAGGCAAATTATTATACAAATTTATAATGCAGGTAGATCATTATACAAATTTACAATGCAGGTAAATCATTATACAAATTTGCAATACAAATAAATCATTATACAAATTTGCAATACAAATAAATCATTATACAAATTTGCAACACAGGTAGATCAATACAAAAATTTACAATATTTACAATACAGGTAATGATTATACAAGTCATTACGCTTGCCTCCATTACTATTTTCCAGCATTTTGTAAAGCGAGTTGATGTATATACTTACATTATAAGAAAAGGACCAAAGCTTGGTCTCATCTGTTGAAAGAAAACATTTTTTGGTGGAAAGAAATTTGAATTGTTCTTAAAATGTCGGACTTCTGTGGAATCTTAAAAATTTAAAGTCAGTTGTCCATGCTAAATCTGGAATTTTCGCTTTTAAGATTTAAATTATGATTTTTAATATTTTTTCCCAAACACGGTTCAAATGTAACGTATATTTTTGAAAATTTTCTATGAATTAGAATGTCTTGCATTTTAGTTATGAGATGTTATTATAAATATAACCTACTATCAACCCCAACATCGACCGTCCGAATAATTTTGACGAATGCATATAAACGATAAAATTGTTATCAACAAAAACAGTGTTATCAATAGCAATAACAGTGTAAACAATAACAATGTTATCAAAAGCAACAACAATGTTATCAATAATAACAACCATTTTACCAATATATATGACAATGTAACTATAAAAATGTCATCAATAAGAACAATGTTATCAATAGCAATAACAATGTAAACAATAACAATGTTACCAATAACAACAGTAATGTTCTAACAACAGGAGAGAAGGTGCTGGTGCACAAGCACAAAGGACATGTACAAGCCAAGATCGTGTACTACCTCATGCACATACACATCAGCAAACGCAGCATCTACTTCTCCAGGGTACGTCGCGAGT